TATTTGTTCCCAAACCAAGTGAATTTCCTTAGCACCATTTCAGTATTTTTTAAATTTGAAGTTTGGATAGTGTGGCCGAGAGTGTGGCCACGCATTTCCATGTCTAGGTATCGGCGAGGGTGTATGGGTTAATGAATAATGCAAAATACTCGGCAAAATATTATAATCAATAATTTTTTTTTTTTTCATATCTCAATCAATCATGTCTATAGTCCGGGGGCCGAGGACCTTTTTTCCAAATCATTAATAACAAGCTAGTTTTTTCAATGCAGCTTCATTTCACCGAGACGCCCAACTTTTTTCTCTTCGAAAATTGCGAAAACAGGTAGCTAACATACTGCGCAGGTGTAAAACATGTCGATTTGGTGACTATGAAAATTTAATTAATAACAGTTAGTTTTTCACCTAAATGTTGAGATAATTTTACGAATAATTTGAAACAACATTTGTCCGACAAAATAAAGGGTTTGGTCTACGATGTCCCCCACCTCAAACATGTAGCAATTATGTTGCATAAAAAATGATTAATAACAAGTTGATTTTTTCAATGTAGGTTGGTAAATATTATTACAATTAAATGGTCACACTGTCCTACAAATAAACAGGTAGCTATTTTCAGTCCTACACTCAAAAGTTGTCGATTTTACGATTTAACTTTTTTCATTAATAACCGGCTAAATCTTCGTGAGTATCTTCATTTTGATAAGACGCCCAAATTTTCTGTTGCGAAAATTCCAAAAACAGGTAGCTAACAGAGTGCGCAGGTGGAAAACATGTCTATTTGGTGATCATACAAATGTAAATAATAACAGTTAATTTTGTAGCTGAATGTTGAGATAGTTTCATAAATAATATGAAACAACATTTGTCCGACAAAATAAATGGTTTGATCTAGGCTCTCTCCCTTCTCAAACATGTAGCAGATACGTTACATAAAAAATGATTTATAACCAGTTGATTTTTTTAATGTAGCTTAGTAAATATTACTACAATTAAATGGTTACACTGTCCTACAAATAAAGAGGTACATTTCTCCAGTCCTACACTCAAAAGTTGTCGACTTCACGGTAATACTTTATCGAGTACTTTATTCATCAATCACCGGACACCGGCTTAATCTTCTCGAGCATCTTCGTATTGATAATACGCCTAACTTTTCTATTGCGAAAAGTTGCAAAAGTAGTAGCTACTAGAGTGAGCACTAGTGAGCACATATAAAATACCTTGATTAGGTGATTATGCAAATGTAATTATTAACAGTTAACAGTTAATTTTTCAGGTGAATAATGAGATAATTTTATAAATAATTCGAAATTCGATTTGAGCCACAAAATAAATGGTTTGGTCTTCAGTGTCCCCTTTCCCAAAAATGTAGCAATTACGGGCTCATAAAAAACGATTTATAACCAGTTGATTTTTTTACTGTAGTTTGGTAAATATAACTACAATTGAATGGTCACATTCAGGCCTATGATGTATCATTTTCTGTTATTTTAACAGCAACGTTAAGTTATCTATCACTGTTTATTTTACACGTAAAATTAGAGACAGGTATAGATTTTGAGCTATAACACAACTATTAAAATAACAGGACAGGATACATCATAGGCCTGATTGTCCTAAAGAGGTAAGATTTCTCAGCCCTACATTCGAGAATTTCGAAAATAGCCTTATGCATATTATACGTAAATATGTACAGGGCTTTCATTTCAAAACTTACCACCCACGATATCTGCGTGAAGAGACAGATTTCTGGAAAAAAAGATTAAATTCAAGAATTTTACCTTTTATATTTTGAAAAATATAATTATTAAAATATTTGATTTTTGATATTATTTGAAATGAACATACCTATCTCTTTTATTTTTGAGCTGTCGAGAAAATATTATTTGGGAAACTCCTGTATTTTTTTGAGTTCCACGTTATTTAAAAAGAGAAACTCTAACTTAGAAAACACCCTGTATTCACCCCATATACAGCAAAAAAGCGCGCCAGATTTAATACATTAAAAAAGGAGCTCTATTTTTTTTAAATATCTTTAGAATTAAGATGAACCGGTTGGATCAAACCTTCTCCATCTGGGTATGGAAAATGACAAAGGGCATGGCCCCCTCTACTTTGATGGCATACCAAAACTCTTTTTCGAGCAATTCAAATCTGGCGCGCTTTTTGAATCACCCTATACTACGATACTGGGCGTGTTTGGGTTGAAGCTCGGCGGAGCGAGCAGAGCGATTACCGAGTAGCGTGACGTCACAAGGAGTACACCGTGTCAAGCCAAATAAACTCGTGCAAAAGTGCTGGGTTGAGCGATCAGCTGATTATTGTTTATTTTTTTTTAGGATATGTCTTTTTGAGTCCGAGTCCGTATTCCGCATTTGCACCAGAGTTTTCCACTGAGTTTTCTCGTTTGCCCCATTTTCTTTTGTGTTCTGCTAGAAATGTTGTGCTACATAAACAATAATGGACCTAACCACTGAGGCTGCCAAGTTCCCTTGGAAATATATGTTCAATAATACCAGTGATGAGGACTAATACCGAGAAAATTTGATTAAAAGTACACAATTATGCAGAATGTATTCTGTATAATTCTTAACATTTAAACAAAATAGCTAAAACTATGCAGCTAACAAATAAATGTTAAAATTCAGGATTGTTTATTTATGTTATCATGTCATGGAAAATAGGTTAGGTTATACTAAACAGATTAAACACATATCTGCGCATGCACCCTCCAGCTGCCCACTCCACAAACTCGGAGTTTATCGAGCTCGCTCTGAGCGCTCAAAATAAGTCAAACCAAACACAATCAAGCGTTGTCGGAGCTTCAAAAAATAACGGAAGAGAGACAAAAGTGCAAGCTCTGAGCGCACCGAGCGTGAACCCAAACGCGCCCACTGTGTTATTTACGAGCATGCGCGTCGATGCGAATGGAAACCATCGACAAAAATGTAGGTATGTGTACATACACATAACACATATACTGTTATACACGCATCTGTATACGTACATATGTACATACAGGGGCTTTCATTTCGAAATTTGCCACCCACGTTATCTGCCTAAAGAGACAGATTTCGGGAAATCGCCGGAACACGTCAACAACAAATTAACGCACCCCCTCAATTATTATTATTATTATTATTATTATTATTATTATTATTATTATTATTATTATTATTATAATATGCATAAGGCTATTTTCGAAATTCTCGAATGTAGGGCTGAGAAATCTTACCTCTTTAGGACAATGTGACCATTCAATTGTAGTTATATTTACCAAACTACAGTAAAAAAATCAACTGGTTATATATCGTTTTTTATGAGCCAGTAATTGCTACATTTTTGAGAAAGGGGACACTGCAGACCAAACCATTTATTTTGTGGCTCAAATCGAATTTCGAATTATTTATAAAATTATCTCATTATTCACCTGAAAAATTAACTGTTAACTGTTAATAATTACATTTGCATAATCACCTAATCAAGGTATTTTATATGTGCTCACTAGTGCTCACTCTAGTAGCTACTACTTTTGCAACTTTTCGCAATAGAAAAGTTAGGCGTATTATCAATACGAAGATGCTCGAGAAGATTAAGCCGGTGTCCGGTGATTGATGAATAAAGTATTACGGTGAAGTCGACAACTTTTGAGTGTAGGACTGGAGAAATGTACCTCTTTATTTGTAGGACAGTGTAACTATTTAATTGTAGTAATATTTACTAAGCTACATTAAAAAAATCAACTGGTTATAAATCATTTTTTATGTAACGTATCTGCTACATGTTTGAGAAGGGAGAGAGCCTAGATCAAACCATTTATTTTGTCGGACAAATGTTGTTTCATATTATTTATGAAACTATCTCAACATTCAGCTACAAAATTAACTGTTATTATTTACATTTGTATGATCACCAAATAGACATGTTTTCCACCTGCGCACTCTGTTAGCTACCTGTTTTTGGAATTTTCGCAACAGAAAATTTGGGCGTCTTATCAAAATGAAGATACTCACGAAGATTTAGCCGGTTATTAATGAAAAAAGTTAAATCGTAAAATCGACAACTTTTGAGTGTAGGACTGAAAATAGCTACCTGTTTATTTGTAGGACAGTATGACCATTTAATTGTAATAATATTTACCAACCTACATTGAAAAAATCAACTTGTTATTAATCATTTTTTATGCAACGTAATTGCTACATGTTTGAGGTGGGGGACATCGTAGACCAAACCCTTTATTTTGTCGGACAAATGTTGTTTCAAATTATTCATAAAATTATCTCAACATTTAGGTGAAAAACTAACTGTTATTAATTAAATTTTCATAGTCACCAAATCGACATGTTTTACACCTGCGCAGTGTTGGGCGTCTCGGTGAAATGAAGCTGCATTGAAAAAACTAGCTTGTTATTAATGATTTGGAAAAAAGGTCCTCGGCCCCCGGACTACTATGCCCACATTACTTTGTCCAAGTAAACCAAATTTCGGTTAAAATTCAACAATAAAAAAACCTCAGGTTAGACACAAAAGTTAGTTTCCAAGGCTAGTTTCTATTATACTAGGATAGAAATGGTGATTAGGTACTGTACTCTGCTTGGTTAAATTTGTAAAAACCTATTTTTAAATCGAAGAAAATCTCATCAGAATTGGCTCAAGTTTCACATAAGCAGTCATTCTTTATCTTATTTTTTCCATATTTTGATTTTTTTCTCTGAAAATTTTGAAAGTTCATATACTGGCTACTAAGTAACATTGCTGTGCCTTGTAATTTGCTCATTTTTCAGTACGTTATTGTTTGACAAAGAGAGAAACTCAGAGTATTGAAAAATAAATAAATAAGTGGTTGAAGTGGATTCTAGTTAATCCATCAAGAAATGTTTTTGCCTAGGTGTATGTCAAAATCCGATATCACAAATTCTTAACTCCGCCGCGATATAGAAACCACCCATTAGTCATATTTCAACATTAATAAGTTTTACATTTTTTCTTTACATTAGATTCCAGCAACTATAACCCGTATACTTCTAAACCATTTCCGATGGGACAAGGAAAAACTTATGGAAAGATTCTATGATGGCGATCAAGATCAACTTTTTATTGAAGCAAGGGTCATAAATCCTTTCAAGAAACTCAACATCGCTACCAGAATGAAAGTAAGAACAACCATTTTCTCTATATTGTGTCATTCAATACATATAATTGATTGTATTTAATAGTTTTCTTTTAATCTTACTTAGTTTACTAAGAAAACAACAAATGGAACCGAAGAATGTGAAATCTGTTTCATGATAGTACATTCATCTGTAAGTATTTTTTATTTGTGTTGCTTTACATTTTTTTTCTTGAAAAAAATTTCCTATCTAAATTTTTTCACCGCATCTACCTACCTACATAAAAAAATAGGTAGGTAGAGGTTTAACATTTAGGCCCGGTTTACTCATCGTCAGATAAAACTGCTGGTAACTATCTCCAAGGTAAATTTACTGTTCTATAATTCTATTGGTCGGCGGATAACTGGCCGACCAATGGGATTACGCATTGCGTTTTTATCTGTCAGATTGTATACCTGACAGTTTATCAGAAGGTGAATTAACTGGCACTTAATGATTCAAAAATAAATACTTGTTGATTTTAAAGGGTACTTTATCTGTATATTTTAGCACATGACAGGGCTGGAATGTGGCCACAGATTTTGTGTTCATTGCTGGTGTGAATATTTGACTACCAAAATCATGGAAGAAGGCGTAGGACAAACAATTGCCTGTGCGGCACACGGATGTGATATCTTGGTTGATGATGCTAGTGTGATGAGGTTGGTCCGTGACTCCAAAGTTCGCCTGAAGTATCAACATTTGATTACAAATAGTTTCGTTGAAGTAAGTAGCAAAACATATTAGGTAAATTGACATTTTTGTGATGAACAATTCATGTTTAATTACTATTTAATGTCAGTAATTAAGATGATTTGGTTATGTTTGGGAACATCTAGATTTATAATAGGATTACTTAGAAATACACAAGGAATATTTTTGGCGATGCAGAGGAATACTCTTGGAAATACAAGAACCACTGAGAAATATGTGGGAATACCTGGATATATTAGGTTATTTGAGAAGTATTTTTAGAACATTCCAACTTTACCATAGTGAACGACCCCTCGCGTGCATGCTTACGATTTCATTGCCTTCACATGGTAAAAACTACTCTCAAGAATCACGAACCGATGGACCACTTAAAAATCGCTGCCTGTTCAATTTGCCTGGTGAACTCGACCTGAAAACAAATATATTATTTATTAACTTAATTGTGTCAAGTCGCTTTAGTCTTGTCTATCTGTTCACCAGTTTTATATAGGTTGGATCATGGTCTTGCTGCCCAGAAAATGTACAGTTGCGATCAAAAAAAACTAGTACAACAAAAATCTCCAAAATCTCCTGGTCTATCATACAATAGGTATTTTTTAGCGAGATCCCAGTAATAACCGTTTATAACCCGTGCGGTTTTACACGGTAACACTCCCACTTCAAAAATATATTCCTACCTTTGACAGATTTCCAGGATTAAACCGCTTCTCGCTAAAACGGAACGGTTATCAAAATTTTACAGTAAAGTGAGGTTAGTTTATATTTTGTGGTAAACATAAAAAAAATGTCAATAATCAAGTCCGTATTACTAATTGACGATATTTTGTTTGAGAACACCCTATATATTCTAATTTCTAAAAAGTCTTATCGAGTCAAGTATAGTGGTCCTTTGAAATGTATATTGCGAGAAAATCATGAGAGACAGCTTATAGATCATAATATGTGAATTATTGTCCCCTTCAACTTGATGACTAACTACTACCGGCGACTTCGGCGAGATCTGCTATTTTTTGATATCCTCCAATCAATAACAAAAAAACCTCAGAAAAAAACTCACTTTTACACATCAAAACAGTCACAAAGGAATCTAAGGTTAGAATTTTTCAGTTACTCAACCTGGGTATCAAAAACAATAACCGTGTTATAGAATGATGACGTCACTGTATGACAGCAAAATGCCTTCCCCTATAACCGCTTTCTCGCAAAAACGGATCGGTTATTGATTTCCTGTAACCCCTGTAACCGCTTGTAACACGGGAACTAACGGGAGCTCGCCAAAAAATGCCTAATCATTTAATTTATAACCAAAAATTACATTACTTTGGCATTTTTTGACAAGTTTTCAACCTAGAAAGCTTTGGATGACATTAGAGAGATATCGATGAATCAGATAGCGCGTATAGACGGTAATAACGTCAGGAGTTATTTTTTGAAAGTAAAGTGGTATCATACTTTCAAATTAGAGTTATCGGAAAACAGTTAATTGTAAAATTTGCCTGTTCGCATCCGTTATTTTATAACCGTAGCCCATGTCTAACTTGTACCTTGTTGTGATTTGATTTGTGTTGTCTGTTGTTTATGGTCAGGGACAGAGGATTTGCTTTTTTATTATTTTTTGAACCATCCATATTCATTTGAACACAACAAAAATATTAAAATAAACAAAAACAATAAACATAACATAACCTATATTATTCCACTGCGTTATTTTTAGGCGTTATACGAATTAGCGCTTAACGTAAATGCTGGGTAAATTACGTTATGCGGTAACGTTATTTTGGTACGTAGTGTTGAAAATCGAATCGCGCATAGGTTTAATGTCAAAATAACGTAGGCGCTAATACTGCATGACACTATTTGGGTTACCGATATCTCTCTCTTATTTTGGCATTTTCCACCCGTTTTAACCTAGAATATGTCATTGCCTGAACCCAAAATATTTTGAAATGTTTATTTACTGTCAAAATTTTGTATATTACACCAGGAGCTCAAATTGGGGTTAATAATTTTTGTACTACTTTTTTTTGATCACAACTGTACAACAATGGGTTTCATAGGAACCTGGTGAATCTATTTATCTCATACTTGACTGGGCGAACGCAATTTGTGGAGTACAACAGTTTTCGATCTACTGACTTCAGCGCTTCATTTGACGCTCCTCAGGGAATCTAGCTCCTCTAATATTTGCTATATTTGTGAATGATATCACGGACACTATCTCATCCAATTGTGTACTGTTTGCCGATGAGCTGAAATTTTTTAGAATTATACAAGACTACTCAGAATTACAAAGGACATTGACTGCTTGTCTTCTTGGCGTATAACAAATAAACTCCCGCTAAATATTAATAATTGTCAATCTATGACCATTTCCAAGCTTCATAACGAAGTGAAGTTTGCATATAGACTTGAAAATACCAATCTTTCTAGTGTAGACAATAGACTAAAAATTAATAATAAAATTTAACTAAACATATTGACCAAATTGTTCAAGCATCTTTGAGAACACTTGGCTTTATTATTAGGTCAACAAAAGATTTCTCAAGTACGGAGGGCTTGATTACTTTGTATAACTCATTGATAAAATCAAAATTACAATATGCAGCTCTAATATGGTTTCCCAATTATGGTATTCATGTCGACAGGCTCGAATAAGTCCAGCGCAGATTTCTCAAGTACTTAAGCTTTAAGCAGGATGGTATCTATCCTCCACGGGGATATGACCATAAACTATCAGTGGGAAAATTTAACTTTTTATCATTTAAGCAAAATACAATTCTTGCTAATCAACTGTTTATTTCTAAAAAAATGCAAGAATTCAATTGTTCCGGCTGAAATATTACATTACCTCAATTTTTTGGTTACTGCAGGAAGCACCCGAATTCACCACAAATTCTCTGGAAAACTGTCATACTAATCTTGCCAGAAATGCGCCTATATATAGAGCCTGCTCATGGTATAATCAATAATTATTACCTACTATTGGTGAGTTGGATCTTTTTAATGGTACTGTGAAGTCCAAGGTGAAGTCATTTAATACTAAAATTATAGCAGAGATAAAAAACACTCTCCTGGATTAAATTGCTTCAGTTATTCAATCTTGTATTTTTGTCGGGCAATTGCTGTTTAACCTTGGGTTATATATTTGTCCTGGGGATTAGCTGGTGGAAATTGTTTATACTACTTGCATATGTTTTTCTCAATTGTTAATTACATACTATAGTTGGTTACTTCATTTATTTGTGGCTTAAGTCAAAACCTAGTTTTAAGTTTGCAATAGCATTTATAGAGTCTATAATTTAAAACTATAATTGTCTTTTTATTGGGATTATCCTGTTTAACAATGAATAAATAGATAAATAAATATAATTTATTACAATTCTAACGTCCTTTTTTCAGTGCAACCGTTTACTAAGATGGTGTCCATCTCCGGACTGCAGCAACGCAATCAAAGTGCAATACGTTGAACCACATCGAGTGACTTGCAAGTGTCATCACACCTTTTGCTTTTGTTGCGGCGAGAATTGGCACGATCCCGTCAAGTGTCATTTGCTTAAAAAATGGATCAAAAAATGCGATGACGATTCAGAAACTAGCAACTGGATTGCTGCAAACACCAAAGAATGTCCTAGGTGTAATGTGACTATAGAAAAAGATGGTGGTTGTAACCATATGGTTTGCAAAAATCAGAATTGTAAGGCTGATTTTTGTTGGGTTTGTTTGGGACCTTGGGAACCGCATGGCAGTTCTTGGTATAATTGCAATAGGTTAGATCTACTTAAATACCTAAATGATTTTTCAACTAATTTTTTTGCCCCAACAGGTATGATGAAGATGAGGCAAAAGCCGCTCGCGATGCCCAAGAAAAATCTCGTTCGGCTCTACAACGGTATCTTTTCTATTGCAATAGATACATGAATCATATGGCATCACTAAAATTCGAAAATAAGTTATATGCCTCAGTGAAAGAAAAGATGGAAGAAATGCAACAGCATAATATGAGCTGGATTGAGGTCCAGTTCTTGAGAAGGGCTGTGGATATTCTGTGTCAGTGTAGGCAAACTCTTATGTACACATACGTGTTTGCGTACTATCTGCAGAAAAATAATCAATCTGTGATTTTCGAAGATAACCAAAAGGATCTTGAGAGCGCTACTGAGACACTATCGGAGTATTTGGAGAGGGATATAACGTCTGAAAATTTAGCTGATATTAAACAAAAAGTGCAGGACAAGTACAGGTAAGAATGGGTTTTTGCAAAAGGTTAGGCAAATAAATGTCTGTATGTCTGGATACGGCATTGTACAGCTTGTAGCCAATTTTGTCAGCTTTAAAAATTCTGTCCACCAGTTTCTCTGACTAGTGAGGACTGAGCTACTCAATTAAAAGAGTTTGTTGTTTATTTTCGTTGTAATTGTCTTGCATTGAAGTTCATGTTCACCTAATCTCGATTTGGTCTGAAGCCAAACTGTGTTTCGAATAGGGTTACTGCGGACAAAGGAAAAAGTCGATTGGAGAGAATCCTGGCAGTTGAGAGCAGTGATATTCCTTGGTGATTTCCATACTCCGCCTTGTCACTTTTCTTTTATAGTCAAAACAGAAGTAGGTGTCACTAAGGTTGGTGGGAATTATCCCAGTTTATGGCAGTAAACCTATGTTTGTATTTGACAAATGCACGGAAAAGTTGGAGCGAGTGCACTGATTAAAGTGTCTCTTTGGTTGGTTACCAGCTTGAGACCGAGAGTCATGAGTTTTTCAATGCTCCTAGGAGAAAGCTTAGTGAAATTAAGTTTTCTTTTTCGTGGATACACATATGTCCGGAAATGCTTCGCTTTCCAGATGCAGGGTGTTAGAATTTGTAAAAAAAAATTTTTTTAATAATTTTTAGAAATGCGTTTTACGAAATTAATGAAATTTTCATAGTTTGTTGACACGTTTATGGGGTATCTTTTGGACTGCGCAGAGTTGACCCAGTAATTTCAGGGGCGTGCCACAGGTTATGTCTGATGGTTTTTTGCACGAAAAACATCGTCCAGTAGATTTATTTTTAATTAGAATATGTGTTTGGAATAAACACTTAAAAATACAACTTTTTTGTCTCTTCATTTTTTCCTTATGTTGTTTTGTTTTTGAGATAAAATTTAAACCCCATTTTGGGCCAACCACGAACCTCACTTACCTCCATAAATAAAACATAAATTGCCTCAGAATTACTTGAAATTTTACCAGCCTATTTGTTGCCCAAAAATAAACAAATTTTTTTTTTCTAAAATGCACGCGTTTCCAAGAATTAATAAAAAAATTGAATTAATTTTTTACAAAGTTTAACACCCTGTATCTGGAAAGCGAAGCATTTTCGGACACATATTTATAAAACAAAAGCTCAACTATTACGAGATCTACCATCCCTAGAAGTTTGTAACAAACCTTTCGTGACACCCTGTATATTCTGTGTAAATAAGGCAGGTCCATAGTGAGTAACTCACTGTGGACCTGCATCCCAAGAATCCGTGCTGCTTTTGACAAGTATTGTTTGTCGATTTTTAACTGACACTTTCCGTACGAGGAGCGAGGGGGGTGTTTCAGATGGCAAAAACACGTGTGACGTCAGGTATTCATTGGCGTTCTAATTTAGGGAGGCACCAGCTCACATTCCGTCCGAGTATCAGATTAAAATCGACGGAGAATAATAATTAGTTCAAAAACTTTGCTATATGAACTAAGCTTTGAAAGACCACAATAGTTTTCAATTTTACCTCTCCCCACTCTTAAAAGAACTAGTTTTCCATATCTCTGAAAATTCACCCAACTTTAAAGATCTTGAATATATTTTATGCAAGATAGGGCCAGAATAAATTTGCAATTAAATACCAGGAGGTTATCAGGAACATTGTCTGATTTTTTTTTCTCGAGGTTTTTCTATTCCATCTAACACATCTGTCATTTCAACATTGATCCCACTTTAATTTAAATCAGATTGGATATCCTAACTCACAGCACAGTTGATGTTTATGTTGAAGGCCGCTTTACAGTTCGCTATTTTTCTCCCTGCAAGTTTTCTGACTGCAAGTTTATTGTTAGAAATTTGTTAACGGTTTTACAGTTGGCAATTTTTATTCCCAATTTTTGATGCCATTTTCAGAATTACCAACCACAGAAATATTATTGAACATCAGCTGTTTTTTAAATTGAGGTATCTTTCCCTTTTTTTCAGACCTAAATCGATTAAGAATCAATTATTTTAAATGAGAATCTAAACAGAATATAAATAGTTGAAAGTTGAATAAAATAAACCCTGTTGTCACTTTTTGAGGTCTAGTTCAGTCGGAAATACGAAAAATATTGAAATTTGCTCATGCAAGTGCTAGAAAAATAGGTTCGGAGCTACTTACTGCAAGTGCAAGAATTGGATGTGCGCATGCCCGTCATAAAAATCCCTGCAAGCTTGCTTCCAGGAGATAAATATAGCGAACTGTGAAGTGGCATTTACATAGAGAGCATAGACATCTAAGAAAGTCGCGAACAAATTGGTCATATCTTGAGTGTTGGAGGCTCTTTTATCACCATGGGACAGGATATAAGATAGGGAACTAGAGATTTTTTTTTTCATTATAAGCGGATTTTGATTGCATTCGGTGTATCTTTTGGATGGGGTCATCCAATCAGGAAGTGGTAAGGCTTACTATGTTTACAGCACGTTTTCTAGCCCGCTATGCAAGGTGAGCGAAGAAGATTTCAAATGGGGCTGCTTATTCGCAAGTGCAGCACAAGCTGCTTTATAGCTTTCCTTACCCAAAACGGAGAGCACACACCTCCCGCCTACGTGCCGGTTTGTCACTACAAGCTCCCAGGGTCCTTTTTCTAGAATCAGGTGAGCAGCGTTCCCAGGAGAAGAAGTGTTCTGTCTTTGTTACTTATATTATCATTTGCATATCATTGAGAAAGATGGAAGACTCGTTCTCCTGGGAACGCTGCTCCCCTGTTTCCCTTTAAGAGACGCCTGTATGTGATGTATTTTAATGTGAGAATGTTGCTGCACGATGATTATCACGGTCTTCCCTCGATTGCTCCCAAAACTGTTGAGGCTCTATGAGCCATCATTTTTCCACGTTTGCACAAAATTTTATGAAGGGTATGGACCATTATTTCCACTCTTCTTCTTTCTCAACCTGTGGTGGTCTACACTTGGATGTACGTCTTTCCCAATCCGTTTAAAATGTCCCTTACCTGTGGAGCATTCAATCCACCCATCTTTTTTGCGGAGGTCCTACATTTCATTTTATTTTGTCTTTGGGGGGGAATTGTTAGGTACCTACTGAAAGTGCTCCTCAGGAAAGACAATCCCTCTGAAATCAGCTTGCAGACAATCCCTCTGAAATCAGCTTGAAGACAATCCCTCTGAAATCAGCTTGCAGACAATCCCTCTGAAATCAGGTCGCCACAATTATTTTTACTGAAATATTTGAGTATACATTAAATGCATTTAGCAAGGTGTTACATTTTTCTAGCGTTGTGGCTGTTAATTAATTCTTTTTGCAGGTACTGTGATAGCCGAAGAAAGGTGCTTCTCGAACATGTTCATGAAGGCTATGAAAAGGAATGGTGGGATTATAATGAATAAAATTCATTTTCCGTTCCGTTCCGTTATCTAATTTTAGATAGTATTTATTCTTTAAAAATTGCCTTGTTACCTCAACCCTGTGGAACAATCTTCATTTACTATTTATTTATTATACTGCGCCATTTCGCCGCTTCTATTTCATATTCTTGCCAAAACGTTCAAAGCTCTAGTATCTATATTTTGCTGACAAATACATTTTTTTTTTTTTAAATTCATGTAACGATATGAAATAGAGGTGGGGCGCACCACCGATATGTATTGTTATTTTTAGACCATGGTCTAGATTTTCACAAGCACTAGATCAGGAATTTTGACTGATTTATTCAGATTTAATTTGTTGATTATATTATATTTTCATCTAAATACATTTGTAATACCTTTTATTAGATACTTTTCTAGGTAAATTTTATTATTTATTTGTTATAGTAGGTAATTTCTCGATTTAATGAGTTTGTTTCTATTTTCACTGCAACAGAAAATATTTTAAATTAAATACTTAGATTTGTTACAAAAAAAAACTTCTAAGGAAATTTAGATTTAAGTGGTAGAAAAAATATTATTTGAGAAAAGTTTTACATGCATTGCTACCTCAGGTGGCACACATTTAATTCCTACAATTACATTTGGGTTTTCCTTTAGATGTAAAAAGTAATAACTACTCTGGCTAGTGGTTTTACCATGCCTGGTGATACAAGAGAAAAAAGGAAAACCGGAATGTGGAAATTAAAGGTGGACCCTCACAATATGTGACTGTGTCACAGAGTTGTTGACCAGTTTTGCATGTTTAAAATAGAAACTGCGTTTAACCTTCGTCTTCCCGGGTGGGGTACAAATGTACTCCAGAAAACAATTTTTCTAGCATATTTTCCCAAAAAGTGCATATTTTTTGTGACTAATTTTATTTTGTGTCAGTGAGGGCTTGGCACATAATTAGTGATCATCAAAAATTTTCTATTTATTTATTTTTTAGAAATAATAATTTTTGAATAGCGTGGGGCACATTTACCCAATGACATACTCCACGTGGGAATCTGTGGCTACTCTATCAAGTAGTCACCTTGCAGGAAATTTGCAGGTTGGAAATAGATTTCCAACCTGCAAAATTCAGAAATCACGATAATAAAGCTAATCAAGAAGTATCTGTGCAACAGGAAGAGAACGAAAGTTTACGGGAAGTAGAAGCCAGAAAAATGATTTATAAGTCGCAAGCATTGGTCGAAAATACCATTTGCTATTTATTTTTTTTCCCTAACTGTACTCTATAGATTGATTTTATCTATTATAACTGTTTAGTATAAATAAAATCATGTTTAAGTATCAGAAGTATCATTTTTATCATGGGGTGCGAATGTACCCCACGTGGGAATCTACATAATTTTTTTTGACGTGGGAAGACGAAGGTTAAATAAAATTAAAGTACAAATATCTACATGCGATCCAACTGACACTGTCGATGTGAGAATCCACCTTAATTCGAATGCAGCTAATGTGACATTATGTACTGCTACAAAATACTCGTGCACTCCTGTGACATTGTTACAAATGAAAAAACTAAATTTGGTATGGAGGTCGCATTTTCGTGAATGTCCAGATTGAGCAACTGTGGTTGAAAAACTTTGCCAAGTTTTCAATATTTAGAGAAGTTTTTATTTTACTTTTTATTTTTCTTATTTCTAATTAACGTTTTTGACTTGAAGTGCGAAGAGAGTAGGCAGCTAATGCAACATTATGTACTGCTACAAAATACTTGTGCACTCCTGTGACATTGTTACAAATGAAAAAACTAAATTTGGTATGGAGGTCGTATTTTCGTGAATGTCCAGATTGAGCAGCTGCGGTTGAAAAACTTTGCCAAGTTTTCAATATTTAGAGAAATTTTTATTTTACGTTTTATTTTTTTTTATTTCTAATTAACGTTTTTGACTTGAAGTGCGTAGAGAGTAGGAACTGTTGGCTCTTTTTTTGAAAAATAGTTGCGTTCTGATTTTATGTTGTAGAGTTTTTTTGTGTTCAAAATCGTCCATATTGTTAAATATTTCTAGTCAAACTTGATACCCTTGTATGTAGAGTGCTTTGCCTTTGTTGGAACCGCGTGTTCGTTTGTTTTCACCTTTGTTAATTTTAAAGGTTAAAAACGCACACGAACATTGCATTTGTGGGTTTAAATGTTGCTGAGGTATAGGAATTATTCAATTATCAACCCCTTTTTTAAAATTTTGGCAGGGACTTGGAATTCTTTTGTTTCTCAATGGCAGAATAATTATTTTCGCTTGTGATACATACATACAATTGAAGAATTTGATACTTTGTGCACTCTGACATGGTTGTTTTGAGAATATACGGAAAAAAATTAAACGACACAATTTATTGAAAAAACTCAAAAAACTGATATCATCTCAGGTTAAGGTATAGTGCCAATTTTGTGAATTTTCTTAAATCAATTTGTTCTTTTATGTTAGGTGTGGAGTTCAACATCGTGCAGTACCCACAGTAGAAGATTGAAGTGTTTTCAATCCCTTCTCGAAATAAGCTAGAATAACGATTTCATTCACTTTTTTGAGGTTTTTGTGCAAACACCAATATTTGAACCCTTTGTAGCATTTTCATATTGTGTTGTTGGTTTTTCTGGGCAAAATGGTTGCAGCTGCGGAATGAGCTGCATCTATAATATCGAGAGGTACAAATTCTTCTGCAATTTTCATTTTGAATCAATATTTTTGCAGTATTATGCGGCGTAGATCAAACTGGAAAAAAACGTTAAAACATGCCATTATTTAGTCATCTTTTTTCCTTGGCAACCAAAAAAAAAACGGGCTGTGCTGCAATACAATTTCCTTGTAAAATTAATTTTGATATTACCCAAAATTATTTCCATTCTGTCTGTAGAAAATAAAAAAAAAACGTTTTATAAAACTCGAGTGCGAAATTTCTTTGGTGCTTTCGACTGATTTTTTGTCACGGCTTACACCTCGACAAAAAACTGTCATTATCAAGGACCAGAGTATTATTTCATAAATAACTATTTTTTCGAGAAAATAATCACAAATTTTTAATTTTAAGTAGTACATATTTGACGGGGCTCTATGGATTAGAATATCTAATAAAAGCTACAGTGACTTAATAAACCTTCACCTACAGTGGCGACAACAGAGGTCCGGCCGCCCTTCCTTTTGGGGCTTACCTTTTGCTAATTTTAATTATGAGTATATAGGATTTAAATAAACATCCATAATAAAAAATTGAAAACAACGTATTTGATGACTATTTTTAAGGACATCAAATAGGTTGTTTTCAATTTTTTATTATGGATGTTTATTTAAATCCTATATACTCATAATTAAAATTAGCAAGAGGTAATCCCCAAAATGGAGGCGTTTTCAATATGAATATATAGGATTTTAAATAACCAATCAGAAAAAGGAGGGCAGTTGTCGCCACTGTGGTTTAATAGATAGAGTCACTGTAATAAAAGCTAACTTTAGTTCCTATAGTGATCTATTTGTAAAAGAATGTACATATAGTAGTAAATTATATTAAAACTTTCTTGTAAATATATTTTTAGGATCTGATTAGAAGGAAAGGCAGGTTTTTTAAAAAACTTAAGCAAAAATTAATTTGATGACTCTAACTATGCAATAATGTTTCCATAATAATTAAAAATTAAGGCTGCACCAATTTGCAATAAAACATGAAAGCAAAATTGCTGGTTCATCTGCAGTCCTATATAAGGACACTACAAATAAAAAGCAGCAAATTAATTTATTGCACGACAAATATTAATTTGGAAGTTTGAATAATATTTTGTTAAGAACGCAACAGTAAATAATGTTATTAATATTCCTATCCCTACAGCAATTTTTTTCTGAATGAGAAATTTACGAGTTTTTGCCGGGTGTTCATTTTAGGTTACGCATCTGTCATACATGTAAAGTTGTTCAGATAAATAAATTAAGAAAAGTTGCCTAGGCAACGGATCTTTGAAATTTCCGTTGTTTTATTTCAACTTTGTTTTATACTGTGATTATTTGTTGCGAAAACTGTTTGTTTAGGGGCGACTCTAAAGGGTGGTTCGTCATTTTGTTTTCGTTTTTAAAGATAAAATGATGAAATTTGGAACAGGCATGCATTCTTTGACGCATTTATTTGCTTTCTATTGCTTCGAGTTTGAATGGAAATTTCCATACATGCAGTTTTATTTTTAAACGGTACCTGCTACTGGTATATTTACATATACACTTAAGTGCATAGAAATCGGCCCACTGCTAACTTTTGACTTAACGAATTTTTTTTTTAGAAACTATTCATATGATTATTATTATAATACATAATTCTATCTCATATTAGATGATAATAAATTGTTTTTCAAATGGCGTATGTATTTGTTTTTTTAATCTCGTGGAGTTTCTAAAAAAAAATTGTTGAAGTCAAAAGTTAGCAGTGGGCTGATTTCTATGCACTTATTAAGTGTATTTAATTGATGCTTATTTTGGTAGACTCTAACATCATATTTGTCACTTTTTAACCTGAATTTTTCAAGTGATTTGAAATATCATTTCCCATCTGGAGTGCAAACAAACAAACAAAAAAAAAATGCAAAACAGAATGATAATGACCAACCATTGTTCCATTTAGAAAATAAATCGGATAAAGGTAATAGAGGATTCTTCCAATTGTAGTTGGAGTTATTGAAGAAATTTAAACCAACAACAAGAACTGATTTTTCATAAATGCCTACTAACCTTTTCAGCACAATTAGGTACCGGAGGATATGATAGGGGTCAAAAAGTGATAAATAGTACTTTTTGTGCTGAAGGCAAACACGAACCTGCTGTCCCATTTAAAGCGGAAGTGATAGAAAACAAATAAGTGCTTGTTAATGTACCTAATATGGTCATGGAGGTACCACGTTTTATTTGCTTATGTTTAATTATTTTGCTATTGTAAAAGTATTAAGGTCTGTTCCAACATGTCAAAAACCACCTCCTGAACGGTTTCAAAACCACTGTGTATACGAACTCAGGATTCTAGACACAAATTGTAGGTTTTGCGCACAATCGTGATGGTAAATTGTATGGTTTCCTATTATGTTGGAACATTGAATCATTATTTTAAAACGTCATTCATATTCAATACGCAGAAACTTATTTTTGATTTTTGTAGTGGGTACAAGTACTGATTTGGAATATTTTGCCCAAAAGCTTCCGTTGAAAATTGGAAAAAATCTTCGAATAGACAAAGGTTTAGCTTTTTTCGAGCTGATTTTAACTACCTATTTTATTGAGTTTTATTCTAATAGTTAGAGATAAAAACGTAAAAGCCTATGAGTGTTCAGGAGGTTATTTATTATTATTAGTTAGCAAATTTCGTTATTGTTTTTTTTTTTTTTTCATCTAATAGTATATTCTATTTTATATTATGTATCTTAGTATTTTATTAGGCAAACAAAAAGGACGGAGATTCGTTTTGAGTTCGACAGTGAAGCGATAAGATATAGTGATATAGTTTTGCGAACAGTTAAGTTTGATATAAGTTTAGTAGTTTTGCGTGATGTAGTAGTGCTAGTTTTGTCGTGATTTTTGTCTTACTGTCTTGAATAAAAATAAATTTATTTAATTTAGGAAACGTAGCCTCACTTATCTATGATCCCGCTTAGGTAACATAAAATTATACAGGGCGTTCCATTGAAACAAGTATTTCTCACTAAAACACACCAACTTGCTATGCGTGCCTAGGTATAATATGTTTTTTTCTTAGTTACATGATTATGGAGATAGCTTGAAAGGAATTTAGAATAGAGTGGATAAGGTATCCTGTACCTACCTAAATGAAAATTAATTTTCATTTTAAATCTTACAATAAAATAACACCGACTCTTTTGATTAAATTAAAATTTGTGAAATATCATTGTGACAGGTTAGCAGAATTTACACGAACCTACAAGTAGGTACACAAAATTTATAGTATGGTGTAGATCAAGACTATTTTGACTTTGCCTCCCATTTCGGTGTCACAAGCTGATGTTTTTAGGGATGAAAGTAGGTACTTGACAAGGTAACCCTTATTCCGGAGGTAATACAAAATTGCACTGGGCAAAAGGGCACTATCATAAAAAATCGAGATATTTATACCACCGTATAGAGAAAAAAATACATACTTTATTATTGGTCCAATGCACAATAAGGTTTTTGTAGGGGGTATTTTTTTATATTCATTCAAAAAAAATAATTACCATTAGCTCTTATGGCCGAAAAAAACTTTAAACGTAAAAGAGCTAATGGTAATTTTTTTTTTTTTTGAATGATTATTAAAAACTACTCCCTACAAAGACCTTATTGTGCATTGGACCAATAATAAAGTATTTTTTTCTCTATACGGTGGTATCAATATCTCGATTTTTGATGATAGTGCCCTTTTGCACAGTCCAATTTTGTATTACCTCCGGAATAAGGGTTACCTTATCATGAACTTTGATCCCTAAAAAATTCAGCTTGTGACAAAAAAGTGGGAGGTAAATCGATTTTTAGAGCGAATATTTTAATCCATCCACTCTACTAGTAAGTTTCCCACAGAATAACACTGACTGCACCTTCTTTTTTCACTTCACCATTACTTGCAAAACGAGCGATTGCTCACCAGCACATATACCTGCGGCACTGACAGGGTTTGTCATATTTGAAAAAAAAAAAGAAATGATATGCCGCAATTATTCGCTGTGTAGAAAACTAAGATAATAACTCTGTTTGAAGAGGGCTTGTCAGTAAGAAGTGTGGCTGTAAGAAACGATACAGGGTATCTAGCTTCATACATTACAGCGCGTAGAAGAGTTAAACGTCTCTCTAATCTAAGAATTCGTTCTGCAGCCAAAAAAAGGTTTCTTACTAATTTTAACAAAGAGCAGAGATTTGGTTGGTGTTTGGAAAATCTTGTTGCGGACCCAAATTTTTGGCAAAAACTAGTTTTCACTGATGAAAAAACCTTCCAATAATTTTATATTGGTGGTTTGAGAGTATACAGGTCGCCTAGGTCTAGATATGAGGAAGCTGGAAATACTGCATCTTTCCTTGCATCACAAACGCTTCGGAAAGGGTTTTCTTCGAGGTAACGGATTAAATTGTTGATCTGTTCCTCGTTTGTCCTCATTGGGGTCCCCGCACTACCTGGTCTTCTTTCGACGCTCTGCTTCGCAAGACCTATCCGTAAAAGACTGATTTACCCAAAATGGCAAAAAATGACAAGATCTGTCAGTTGGGTGTCCCAGTTTCAATGCTCATGATTGCACATTATATGTTATGTTTTATCTCTCAATGTCTTCTTTAGCCTAGGTAGGTATGTACCCCAAGTAACATTTCTCCGTCTTCCAACGTTATTTGTACCTATTTTAACGTCAGAATAGGTTCATATATTAGTCGCATTACGACTTCACAGCTTCAGTCGCAGTACAACGTCGGCACAACGATGCTTCGACCACGCAAGCCGCCTACGAAAATTAAAGTAGCTTACGAGTAGTTTGCCAACGTTGGCGTGACGTCCTTTCTTGACTTGAATATTGAAAGTTATCTTTAGACGTCGCTACAACGTCGCCATATAACCTAATTATGGCTAGGTAAGCTTTGGTATAGTAGGCAACGTTGGTCGGACGTTGTCATTCGACTAAATTTGAATATGCGGCACTAAGTATTCAGCCAACGTTGGTTCGACGTCGGTAAATTTACCAAAATTGATTAAACTCCAACAATGTACACAAATTAAAATGACCCAACTTTTTTTAAGGGTTATTTTAATTTTCGTAAATTTTAGTTTCGAATTACCTTCTTGTGAATTATTTAGGTACCCATACGTGATTGAAAATAATATGGAGAGAAAGCGAAAACCATTTAGGCATTCCACGACATTTTATAGAAAAAAGAGAATTTTAAGTAATAGCAAGATTGATCATTGCCAATGATCGGGTAAATCGGATTAGTGTTTTCGAAGACCTACTGTGTGGCTGATATTTGATACAATTAAGGCCTGAGTTCGCCATATCAACGCGAGATCAAGGGCGTCGATAAGGAGGGGGGGGGGGGTAATGGGGGTAATTACCCCCCCCCCAAGATCAAGATGACATAAATAAAAAAACTAAATTTGACAGAATATCTGCCCAAGTTTCAAAATAAAAATAAAAATAAAAAATTCAGCGGAGCCGAGCCGTCCAGCTGAAAGCAGTCAAGTCACCCTATATTATACAATATAGTTTTCAAGGCGTCCGGAGGGTTTTTTTTGGGCTTAAAATAAACGTATTTGAGCGTGGCACCCGGGAAATTTTTCGCTTCCGGTGGGCTTTTTATCTCTGATATTTTCCCAGGTTATGCAAATATTGCAAAAGCAAACAAACAATACAGAGTTTTGCTAAATTATATTCTTCATCAAAAAATTATCCCATAAATGTGGCCAAGAGAAAATGCTGGAAATATATTTCAGCTTTCTAAGATGACCGCAAGGGGGCGCAACCCCAACTGTCAAAGTACAAAAATGGTTTCATTTTTGAAATTTCAAATGGAAACGTATCTTAAAAATGGTAGCAATGGATTTTTGATGAAATTACACACAATTTTGATTTATGACTTTTTACCATAACTTATCGGATAAGATAATTATGAGCTGTCAAATATTGCAACTCAAGAAAGCGGATAACTTCAAAACGACTCAATAAATTTGGTCGACCTCAGGATCGTTGGAAAGACAAAAGTCTGCTCTTTAATTTTGTTGTAAAAAATTCAGATTCTGTTTAGTGGACTGAATTTATGGGTGGATATTTAAAAGCAATTGATTTTTCTTCTCCTTATTTCTGAAATTTTCAAATGGAACGGTATATTTAAGATATATTCAATCGATCTCTGAGGATGTTTTACACAGTTTTTCTTTATAACCATCCTACAAATGGGTTAACAGGGTTAACCTGATTTTAACGATATACGGTTTATGTCTATCTTCAATAGTTATGGGGGAAAACATGAAATCCCCTTTCAAGGTCTCATGCTGAAGAAAGAAAAATTATAGGTACCATTTAAGCTTTAGAGCAAATTATTTATAAACAGTTTATTGTTCAAATGTTATTTATTAATTCACAAGGTGAAATTTTATAATAATTCCAGATGTCTTGAGTTAAAATAACATTAGATCTAGTAAGAGATTTTCGCATTTTTTCCTATAACTATTAAAGATAAACCGATAGATAAATACATCAAACTGTATCTCGTGGAAATCAGGGGTGTGATTTTCGAAACCATTCGAGTACATTTCGTACACGAAATTTGACTGACAACAATGTAAATTAAATGGGGAGCAGTCAAATTTCGTGTACGAAATGTACTCGAATGGTCTCGAAAATCGCACCCCAGGTTGAAGGGGACATATTTAAGCGCACAATATACATTTACAAAAATATAACTTCGCTTTGCTACACTTTTTTGACGCACCCTGTATGCCGAGCTGTATGCTTAAAACTTACTTAGTTAAAAACTTTCGAATTTGACACTTCTCTCAAAAACCATGATGAAATAATGAAAAAGTTAGGAGGGGGTGACATTTATAGTAGATCCACCCTGTACACGAGTCGTACAAGTTTAGGAAAGATGCTACCTATTTAACTCAGAACATTTCCGACAGAACTAATCCGGTACTTGTAAGGTGCACTTCCATTTTTTGTAGTACATAGGTATAGGAATAACATATTGAACGTCACCTGTAGTCAAAGTGTGAGGTACTTTTTTAAATTTAAATATTAGTGCTCCCCACACATTTTCTGGCTGTGTGGGTTTTGAAATCTATTGAATACTAACTACAAAAATGTCGCCTTGCTCATCGAAATTCTCCACAGTCTTTTTGGTTGTGTTCTTCTTTGCGACACGATCCGCAATTTCAGAAACAATAAAAAAATATTCAAGAAATTCCGAGAGAAAAAGAGATTTCGTTTATTTTTGAATGGGCACTGAAACCTAGTTAAATTAACTTACTTAACTAAAAGATCGGTATATGCGAGACAAGATTAGGGGAGAGTGGGGCAGCTTCGACATGTTGAGATTTGCAAGATTTTAAAAAAGATTTGTATTTACAGAAATAAACACAACTTTATCTAAACATAGTGATAACATTTCTTTAGTAGGTAACAGGCATTTAAAACTAATATTGTATAAATTCAAATAGAAAAATATTTTTTTTGCATCAATGTCAAATGACGAACTTGCCCTCCCCTATGGGGCAAATTCGACAGCATTATTCTGATACAAATACCTAAATTTTATTTTCTATCTAGATCACAGCAAAAATTAACTGCTCTTCTTCGTATACATCAGATCGTTTTTTTTTTATAATCTCTAATCATCCTAGAAACAAAAATAATAGTTCGACAGTGCCGGAATAACGATTGGCGAAGTTGCCCCACCCAAGGAGATTCTAGTAAAATATTTAAAAACATCTTACAGGAGCCTTTTTTACCGCCTATTATCAAATATTTCTACAAAAGATGGGTCAAAGTCACTCTGTAAAAATTAACTTGCGAAAAAGAACGCTCTAACGGAACGAAAGTATTATTAAAGTAATAGCCAATCCTTAGATCAGAAATTTAAAAACTCGATAATTGCGTTTTATGCGACAAATTGAGTAGCTACCTTCTCCAGACTTAAGGAGCAACTAACTGATACGTACGATGCACCCTCAAGCCAGTATCGGAATTTCCGAATCCAACCGATTCCTAGTAAAGCGCGGTGACAAACTTGCCTCGCATGTCGAAGTTGGCGCCCAACTCTCCCCTACAAGAGAAAAAGACTATAACACTGAAATCTGAATACATGCTCTATCAGAAGAACCTGCAGAATGCCCAATACTAGTTTGACTTTGTAGCTTTTATGGTAAACCGTCACCAAATATCACTCGAGCTCGGAAACTTTATTTTTATTATTTTGAAGCGTAAGTAGCCGATACAGCCTACAATTACAAATTCGCTGCTATTCGCCAACAAGCACTGCTAGTGACGAAAGTCTAGAACAAGTACCATGAAGACATCGCACAGGCCAAAATTGCAGAGAATATCACATATACCATAATAACCGGAGATTACAATGGCAAAATTGGTTCAAGCAATTACTGAATATCTGGGAAATTTTGGAATTGAAAAGATAATTTTGGGAGGTGAAATGTTGATTAGGTACCTAAACAGTAGGAATCTATTTTGCCTAAATACTTATATTTTTCAAAAAACAAACTCAAAGGAAGTGGACTGATGGTGATAGCCGAACCTTGTTTGTCAAAAATATTTTTTTAGGAACTCTTATGGAAAGAAAAGGTTATAAATATTGACGGTGTAAACCTTAACCAATTGAGAATCGCAGATGATAGTATTGATTAGCTCTGATAGACAATAATTTGGACAAATGTTGAGCGATTTGAATGCAATATCAAAAAAACGTAGGTCTTAAACAGAACTAAATTAAAAAAAGTAATAAGACTAATAAGTAACGATCTTGAAAATACAATATTCGAAAACGTACAAATTGAAACAATTAACCAACATGTTTATCTGAGAAACCATAGGTGACTCAAAGTTCTATGGAAGGCCCATGTTGAGCATTGCCATTAGAGAGAGTGCGGAATAACATAATTCTAGATGGAACCAAAATAACAGATATGCTAGAGAAAGTGGCAAGTCTCAAGTGGAAATAATTAAAAAGTGGAAACCGTATCAAACAAAAGTCCACTGAGATGGATAAAAGACTAAGAGCTGGAAAAAAATGGATGCGGACGGCAGAAGTCAGAGAGACATAGAAGAGGCCTATATCCCGCACTGGTGGGCTGACGAAAAGGAAAAAGAAAAACAAAAAGATTCTCACAATAGGAAGTAATCAACTGATGATTCATTAAGAAAATTCTCGATTTCTTCTGGCCTTAATACTTCGCGGCTATTGGCTTTGTTTCTAATGAATTTATTTGTTCTTGAGCCATTCTACTAGTCTTTGATATTATTTTATCTTTTTTTTTTTCCACAGACAAATGCTCTGCAGGGAAAACGGCTTACCATGCTTGAAATTGTTAGCAAAATAGACGACAAAATCACTTTTTATTGTGTTGTTGTTTCTTAAAATACTAAGAAACATTTGTAGCGGACTTCGACTTCTGTTCTGAGGCAGTGGATCTTCTCTTTCCCACTTCCTTTGCCAGCTTTAAATTCTTACTATTTTTCTAATTAGCCAGAGACAGTGACAGAACTAAGGCTAACTGTTCTGCCTGTCGTTAACAAGGATAGTGATTTTGTCAATGTCAATCTATGGCAACAATAGTTCAGGAAACTTTCGTGACTATTTGTTATTAGTCCAAATATGGTTGCTGAATTCGAACTACTCATTTTCCAATTTCAAATAGTGCACGCGCGTTTCTAGATGAATAATGGCATAATTTAAAAAAAAAAACCTCTCTACACCACCGTGGTTAGCCGTTCGTAAGGTTTTATATCAGAACATTTTTTTAAAAGACAGAGGAGGAAAGTTTTCTAGTCCTTTCATTCAAGTCCTTTTACAAACGTTCTGTTATTGAAGAAACGTTTGAAAAACGTTTTGTTTAGGTCCAAACACAGATGTTTAATGAAACGTCATTAAAAGGACCGTTTTTTTGTAATTGTTTTTGAAACCACCTGGGTCTTTATTCTTGAAACAGGGGAGCAGCGTTCCCAGGAGAACGAGTGCTCTGTCTTGGTAACTTATATTGTCATTTGCATATCATTGAGAAACACTCGTTCTCCTGTTTCAAGAATCAGGACCCAAAGAATTAGAACCCTGTAGAGGCGTTTAAAAGATGTTTTGTTTAGGTCCGAGGTCCGTAGAATTATGTATCACAAAAAGTCATGATAGGAACTTTTCAGTAAGTCGTTTTTGAAGCCACTGTTACACACAACGGCAAACTGGAGACCCGAATGGTCACATAGAGACCACCATTATGAAAGTTTTCGAATTTGAGTCATCCTGTGCACTGAGGACATCACAGACATTGTCTGGGGAAGCCACAGAGTATAGTGCAACCAAGAGCTGAGTCATAAGTGACCTCAAGTGGACGGCTAAAAAAAAATTCAATAAAACTAAGAGAATCAGAATCGAAGCCGACTGAAAACAATACAGTTCGAATCTGAGAAAGTTGAAAAAACTAGACGAGACAGAAAAGGCCCGGAGGACCTTCAACGAAGAGATTGAAGATAACTTGCAAACTGCAAGATTCTACAAGGTCCTAGCAAAAGGCAAAGACTACACACTAGGTCTCCTAATAGAGGACTATGGCGCCAAACTCGCCAATCTATAAGAAAGTCGTGAACTGCTTATGCAAACCCACCCTGGTTTATCGACAATAGACAACAGGGATTGGCCAGACGAGATAAATCTTCAACTCTCCTACTTGGCATGGCAAGTCACCAAGCATATCGCGAGCGTGGACAAAATTTGATGGACAGTACTTAGGTTCTCACCCTTCAAATCGTCAACTACAATAAAGCTCGACGTTTTGATACCGCACCTGGATATTTTGTTCAGCGCCAGCCTAGCATTCTGGTCGGCAGAACCCTACATCCGAATTAATATGCCTATAATTTGGGCAGATAGACTGATACGGCCCTGCACTTAGCAGTGAGCCGAATCGAAAAATCACTGGGCAACAAAGTCCACTCTTGGCGTGTTTAGGAATTGAGGGAGCGTTTGACAAAACCACCCTTCAAAAAATCAATTCAGCTTTAGGAACGGAGGTGTGCTACCTGTTGTTAGTGACTGAATTCTTAAAATGCCGTCTAAAAGACGGGGCTAATGGATTCCTTCTCTAAAATTGAAATACGTAATTTAAGCATAGAATCTTAAACAAGGGAGTATTTTAAGTATATTTTCCAAAAAAAAAACTATGTGAAATAAGTTTTATACAGGCACTTCAAAACTGTTGGTATTTTGCCAACATTTTAGAATCAAAACTAATACAAATTTGTGGTGACAATTAATGACAACAAGGTCAAAATTCCAGTTGTGACATATCAAACATAAAGTGAGTGTTTTTATGTGGACAGTTTTCTTTTTGTTTATTTTCTCAAAAAGTAGGTAGGAAGGTACCTCAAATCTTTCAAAAGTAAGGATGCAGAAAACCTATTTCAAAAACTAGTGAAAGATCCCATTAGAGTGGAAGACACTTTAGAGGCATGGTTAACAGAGGCTGTCCGCAGAAGGGCGTTCTGTTCTGTTCTGTTATGAAACCTCCTTCTCAACAGCGTCTTGGACCGCCTTAACTCAAAGGGGTTCTACACAACAGCGTACACAGACACTCTGTCGATAATGCTCAATGGGAAAATTCGAAGGAGTATTATGCAGAGTGACCTCCATCTACTTGAAGAATGATGTTAAGAGAAATCCCTGTCCCGTCAACCTTAGAAAGATGGAGTTGGGGCTCTCCACTAGAGAAAGGAAGACGGAACCCCTACGGGCACCCGTTCTTCTTAACACACAATTAGTTTTGCAATTGTTGGGTAATTTACATACAATTTTCAAAATTGCTTAACAGGGAGTCATAAAATACGCTACCCAAACCATAACAACAGGTTAGTTAGCATTATTCCTCCCTCTCGTTTGAGGAAGTTTTGTATCCGCCACTGATATGATTTTTGTGCGAACGCAATGAAAGGGAGAATGGGGAAAAACGGGACGCTGCACAGGATCGAAAGGGTAATTCGTGCACCCCATAACGACGCCTCGACGCCGGCGCACGGTTAAAGACGCGTTGCATCATTGATGTCGTGAATCGAGTTGATACTATGCGAATAGAAGAGCCGAATAAATTCAAAAAAAATCTAGCAAAATGTATTTAGCATTGAAATTGAAATGCACAAAAAACCCCGGTACATCTAGCACAAATGTTGCATTTCATTTCCAAGAGACGTGTCCATAGTAAAACCGAATATTGGGCCCTTTAGCCTACCCATGTAAGTATAAGTGCATAAAATGTTTTTATGGCGCAAAATTTGATCAGTCCTATAAATGTATTTTTGAAGCTGCATTTCTATACGACACGCTTGTTTATTTATAAATTTAATAGCAATTTCTATTTGACACGCGCTTGTTCTGTTACAGTACAGTACCTTTTCAGAAATACAGTGTTAGTTATTCACATGAATCGCGGGAAAGAAGTTCCATTAAAAAAATATTTTTTTTTTCTAAGAGTTTAGAAAAATGTTCGGCGGTAAGTTACGTGCCTGGATGGAAGCTGTACGGCCTAAAAAGAAACAACATAGAAAAGAAAAACAACGCAAAAATACAACACCTATTAAAGATGGGCCTAGTCATGGTCATGTTACATGGAAAACTGGTGGCCTTTTAGAGAGTGAAGAAAAGGTAAGACGAAAATTAAATAAAATTTTAATGAAACTGCACAAGGCTAATAAGAGGAGGGCGCTTCCCATTTTTCTGTTGCCCGTTTAATCCCCTTTATGGTCCTAATCGTTATCCATAGCGATAAAAACATTCATTAAATTTTGCTTGGAAACTTCATAATTCCAATTTATTGGTTTAGTTAATATTTTATGTACCTGGTATTAGCTATTGAACTATTTGAAATTATTTACCACTATTTTTCCCATTCTGAACACCTAAAATCAACATCCAGAACCTTTATTATTATAATTATTATTATTATTATATGGCATTTATTGTCATTTAGTACAATATAGATTTACAATAATTTTATAATTTTAAAATTTAACAATAAATACAGAATTTCTCTCCCACAAGGGATACCTCGCGCGTGGGAAAGATTTTTTTAAAAGAAACATTGAGATTAGGAATAAAGCTCGGGCTAAAGGCATATAAGTTACAATCTTAAACATTTCCCATTAGACTCAATGTGTTTTCAGTTTCCGAGCTGAAGAAACAGACAAATAAATTTGAAAACATTCCTAAACGACAAAATTCTGTAATGATTTTTTTCAAATTCAATTATTCTGGATGTAATCGGATTTATATTTCTAAACTTTTCAAGGAAAAAAAAAACATTAAATAATAATTTTAAAAAATTCAAGTTTGGCGAATATGGCAATTTCAAACATATATACCTACCTAAATCATTCTAATCCTTCAATCCCTTCAAACATCACCAACCAGCACACTAATCTCCAATGGAACTCAGCCGTACGTGAACCTCCTTGATTCGATTACCTTATCTTGCCCTGCCTACCTTAAATAGTTTGTTTCTTTCCAGGAATCAAAGAGAGATTCATCGCCGAGTAGATACGTTGGTAAATCGAAAAAACACAGTACTAGCGATTCTCATAATTCTAGATATTCAGCAGTCAATCTCTCTTCACCTGAATCAGCCTATTCTACTGGCTATAGTACCGATGCTACTTCACCAGGAGGTGTGCCACTGGATTATTTAGTGAATACCGGTGCCAAAAAAAAAACAGGTATATGTATTTTGAAATATTTAATAATTATTATGAGCTAACAAGTATTTGTTCACAGACACAGCTTTGCAAAATAGACTCTCACCACATCCTCATAGAAATTCTAGGTCACCCAAAGCTGGAAAATGTAAGAGTTTTTCGGAACAAACACCAATACATTCTTCAGTATCGCCAAACAAAAATGTCAAGGTACGTGAGTTCAGAATTTAAATAAATTAATTTAAGGAAAAATCTGGAATTACTCTAGGACCAAGCACATTTGGAAGAGAAAGATGAAATTATTATAGCTAACTCTCAAGCAATTTTTGGAAAACTCCCAGAGCCGACAGCTCTTATGTCTCCTAGACAGAGAAATAGAATCAGAACAAATCCGTGGCTTCCTGGAGGATCAAACAGTGCAGTAGCTAGCCCGATGCCCATAAAAAAAGATGCTAAATATACACCCACCTCACATAAGAAGATTAGAAATAGCCCGTAAGTTCGTGAATAATTTCCTATCCAAAAAGAATTTCATTTTATTTCATTATCCGTTTGTCTTTTAGTATTCAATATAGATACCTAAGCCCAGTAACACATAGAAAATCTATATCTTCATCATCATGTTCTTCGCTCAGCGCTGCTCAAACTCATTCTTTTGAGCACAGATATCCCAAGTCACTAAGCGACGAGGATGATTGTACTTTGAATGAAATGATGGGTAAATATGATGAGAGTTATGTGTATGAAAAAGAAACCGACATACTTAGCGATAGTGACCCAACGGACTGTGAAAGTGATATTGATACTGGTCAAGATGGTGGCGACGAAGAAGAAAACGGAGATGAAGAATTTGATTTTATTGATAATGGTACAATTAATAGTTTTAATAAATAAAATTTGGTCATACTTTGTATATTCCAAGGTTCCAATGTAGAAGTGGATTATGTCACTGGTAATACTGGTCATTGCATGTATATAATGCCATATATAAAATTACGAAGGTCTTCAAGGAGACGCACTACAAAAAAGGTTAAAGAGTCAAGCAGCAAAAGGCGTAGGTCAACTTCGAATAAGAAAAATCATAAGGGTCATCATGAGATAATCAGGTGAATACGTAAATTATCAGTTGAATAATGTTAAAAAAAACTGGTGTTTATATAAATAATTGACATTAGTTGCAAAAAATCTATAAGTTATAAAAATCTAAATTTACTAACTTTTCAGGCATTCAAGTTTACATCAAGATGGTTCTAAAAGTGCAGGTGCAACTCCATTATCAATTCGAAAATCTATTCTGAAATCAAGTCAGCCAAAAATAGAAGAAGAATACGTAAAGAAACGGTCAAATTCAGTAAGTCTCCAAAGAGATGTTACGACTTTCATTATTGATAAAAGCGATAGAGAAGCAGATATGAAATATAAAGAGCTAATTGGCCAAGCTGAACAAATAATAAGAACTATGAACATAAACGACCCATCTCCAAGAAGGGTTCCCGGACCAACAAATAAAAGGGTTGAATTATTAAGATCTGCCGAATGCAGCAAACCTGAAGTGCCATTTATGAGCAGGACTAACGATGAGTTATTATTACCAAATTCTAATATTGCTCCGTCCACGCTTAGTTATAAGAACACCCGATTTAGTCCTAAGAAGAATCATATAACAAACTTTATTATCAACCAATCACCTGTTCCTGTTCGTAAGGAACCTCAGGCGGGACATTCACCACTTCCTCTCAGAAGAATGTTAACAGGTAATTTTCTATTTCAAAAATATTACATATTTTTACAAGAACATATTCTTTAGAAGAAGGTCATCAATCACCACGCGGAGTGAGAAAACAGTATGATCAATTAACTGCAGATATGTTTTATGAGAATCCTCAAGCATCGGAATATGACGTTAATCCATATGCAATATCATTGAAAATAAATCCCAACGATCATTGTTTAAGTTCTCCTGTCAGTTCGAGAAAAGTTGTATCACCTAAAAGTATTTTGCACAAACCAGAATCATATCGTACAGCAGATTTATTAAGTCCCAGGTAAGATATTTTATTGTATTGTTGTTTTTGTTGTTCTGGTCCTTAATTTTTGAAACAGGATCAGCGGTTTCTGTGAAATAAGTAAATAGGTATCTATTTCGGCTTTCGCCCTCAAATAAATTTTTGTACAAAACTGACAATACTTAGCGCTGCAATTTTCCCCAACTTCGAGTTTTATTTTTTGAATAAATTATTTTTTATGTAATGTAGCAGCTTAAGTTTAAAATAGACGTTGCCTATATGCAATAAACTTATTTCTCGTATTATTAGTTCATAAATCGGAATGTGTCATAAAAGGCGTAAAATTTTATGGGCGCTGTTACACAAGCCAGTGGAAAAAATCCCTGTCGAAAGTCACGTCCGCAACTTCGGATTCGTTTATTTATATCGCCGATATTTATAATTTAATGGATGCATTTAGCAAGTTCGCAGTTTTTTTCAGTAAATATCTGGTTTCTTCAACTTTATTATGTTTTGGGTGCCAAAACAATTTATTGAATCCTAAATAGTCTAGGAAAATTGTCAGAAAATACATGCATTGCAAAAAAAAAAATCCTACCCAAATGAACTTTTCAGGGATGATAGGGGGCGGGTAGGTAATCATAAAACCGAAGATATCACACATTCACCCCTTTGCGCTATAGGGGTTGAAGGTGTGCTATTGGCGATTACTTGGTACCTATTGATTTTACAAAAAAATGTTTCAAATAAAAGATGTGCAAAATTATTTGATCTACAATGTCTATCTAAAGACTATTTTGATTAAGGGCCGTCTGTGGTCATAAGGGCCGTCTGTAATCATAAGGGCCGTTTGAAATTTATAATGAAAATAAAATTTTTTAACCAACGTGAAAAAAATTTCTACAACACATACAACGTTTTTACTTTATGAAGTTTTTAGTCACCCCCTGCCGTTTTTCAATAGGGGTAGTTTAAAGTTTTTTTTATTTTTTCACAAAAAAAAATTCTCAATAAAAGTTTTATAAGATTACATTTCCTACAATTTTTCCTTATCAACTTTTTTTGTAACTCACCCCCATTCAGCGGGGGAAACTTCCCTTAGGTTGAAATTTTTTATTTTCATTATAAATTTCAAACGGCCCTTATGACCACAGACGGCCCTTAATCAAAAAAGTCTTGAGATATACATTGTTGATCAAATAATGTTACACATTTTTTATTCGATTTTTTTTTTGTAAAATCAATAGGTACCAAGTAATCGCCAATGGCGCACTTTCAACCCCTATAGCGCAAAACGCCAGAAGGGTGAATGTGTGATATCTTCGGTTTTATGATCACCCACCCGCCCCCTATCATTCCTGAAAAATTCATTTGGGTAGGATTTTTTTTTTGAAAATCGACAATTTGCCTAGACTAAAACTAATATTACGTTTCCTTGGCCATGTTTATTTCAAAATGCAATTGAATAGGAAATTTGTTTATTTAAAGTTATATGATTTTATAATCTCTTTTATCCTTTCTGCCAAAACCTTAAAATTTGAACAAAACAAAAACGAGGAAAAAGGCTTAATATTTTATTTAAAAGATTGTTCCAGTAATTTATTTGGGAAAAATAGACAAAATCATATACTTACCCACTTCTGTAAGGTTTTTCAGAAAGGTCGATACGATTCTAATTTTAAATGACATAATATAAAATCGATTCGACATAGAATCTAACTTTTTATTTCATTTTGAAACATATAGGAGCGAATCCAAGAAAACCATTTTCCATAGACTTTTTGCAATTAAAGGTATGGACCTTATGTCAAGAATGCAGGGTTGAGGAGTGAACTCACAACTTTAACAAATACATTTTTTGAAAGTATCTCTTCCCCAAAGTAGTATTGCAATAACTAAATAGGAATTAGCAGTGTGGCACCATCTTGTTGGAACCAAATGTTTTCCACATCGATTTATTCTAAATCTGACCGCTAAAAAATCTGCTGCTCTCAATCGATAGTGCTCGCACCATTCACTGTATTCTTGATACCGGCAAAAAATCGAAAAATTCCGAACTGCTGTACATTACCTCTTGCGGTACCAATGTATCTATTTCTTGCGTTATGAGTATTCACAAAAAAAATTATTGTATTAAACATGTTTAGATAATAACCAAAGGAGGTGGGCCAGTTTGGACACTTGCACTAGAAAATGTCAATTTCTGAGCGAGATAGAGAAAAAAGTGAGGGTTCGTTTCTCAGACTCATTTGTTATGATTCAATGGTGCAAACCGCATTTTGCTATCTTTTCCCTGTTTTGCGGCTATACAGGAGAATTCTCGATTTTGAGCAATACTACTGAGAAAGCCTCGTCTGTATTTTTCAATAGATCACCCTATATAGAGGACAGGTGCCTAATATTAGGATACTGCCTAATATTGGATACCTACCTATTTTAATAACGAAACAACTGTATATATGCTTCTTCCTAGTAACCAGAAGCTGCGTTACACCTTAAAACCCCACTAATAAGTTTGCAGAGCTCTATAATAGACTATGTTGACATAAACGACCTTTAAATGAAATGCGTGTGTTTGGAAATTATTTGCTCCCTATTTTAGGTGCTGAATTATCAGTTGGAAGGGGAACATTTTAAATATTTCTGAATGGGATGGCTAGTTCATGTTATAAAGTAAATTTTTCTAGAGTTTTCATTAATAAAATCTTGTGTTTTTTTTTCGTCTAAAATAATTATATCCTAAAAAATTTATGATGTGCCTAATATTGGATAGCTAATTGATAGCTACAGGTTCCCAATATTGGATATCCGATATTAGGCAATGCTTTGAGGTCAACTGTAATAATATATTCTTTACAGAAATGGCTACTAAGAGAAGACAGCAATGGAATAAAGCAAATATGACTAGTGATATAAAGTTTTGAAATTATCAATAGCCGTTGAATAAAAAAATGGTTTCCTAATATTGGATACCCTATCCAATATTAGGCTACTATTTTCTAAATTGACAAAATCAGCAATTTTTTAAAAATATTTAATTACTTCCGGAAATAATTTTTCATTTTTTTGCCGACCATATTAACTGAGAATATATAGTTATGCTATAACTCCATTAAACTAGCACAAATGTAGGGATGTTGTTTTAATATAATTTTACAGTTTGAAAAAAAGTATCCAATATTAGGCGACTTTCCTCTATCAAAAACCTGCTGAATAGCTCTGTTTGTGCTGAATTCAACGACATATGTTTTATTAGGCATATTTTTAATAGTTTTCGAGAATAAAATTGAAATCCGTTTATGTCATGGGAACCAATGTGACAGCACTTTCTATCGGTAGCGAAAATAGAAAAGCTCTGGGCAGAAACGGATATCATTTCGTTTCTCGGAAACTTTTAAAGATAAACCTATGAAACTGTATACCATTAAAGTCGGCACAGAAGAGCTATTCAATGAATTGAATTAATAATATAAAATGAATGTATTGTAAAATATGGGGTGTCCTATTTAAAAAAATCGGAATTTGGTCAAAATCACAACTTCGGGGACAGCCAGAAAAAAAGCAGTACTTAGGTACGTCACAAACAGAAAAATTTTGGAGCTTTCACATCAGTATTGCTCAAAATCGAGAAATACCCTCTATAGCGGCAAAACGGAAAAATACAATATGCACAATGCTGGCACCATTCAAGTTTTCATAAAATTTGAGCCTCAGAGGGGGAGGAGGTTCGTTTTTTTGTATCACGCTCAGTACCTAATACGCTACTTTCACATTTTTCATAAACGTATTTAAATTATCGTGCGTTATTCATTCTAATAACATCAGTATAATTTTTTTACCACTTTTGAAAATAAAATGATTTAAAAATCACATCCATTTTTAAACTGCTGCCAAAACGCGGACAAGAACTATGACGTCAGATTCCCTGAAATCAATAAACCGCATGTCGCTAAATTCACCAAAATGGTGCATCGCCACGGATGCGGTGATTAAAATTCACTAATGCCAGTCAAACCCTGTTTAATTTAGCAACAATGCTTGTTCTACCATTCCACCACGGTGCCTACACCAGCTGAATTTAGCCACACGCGGAAAAATGCGAGGGTGCCTATAATCATTATACCAGAACAAAAGACGAAACACAAACATAAAATAAATTTTGATTTGAAATAAGGAAACAAATCACATAACCTTATAAAATCGCTTAAATATTTGCGGATAGGTATCAATTTGTGTAGGCTTCATCCAAAATAGCACTTGTCAGCTGTCAGTACCCACTTAGTGTACAAATCGAATCGCGCATAAGTTTAATAATGTCAAAATATAGCATAAGCGCAAATTCTCAATAAGGCTATGTGTGTTACTAATAGAAAGATTGCACTATTCAGACAGATTTGACATTTATCGAGGCATTCAAATTCAGAGTTATTTCAAATTGGAAACATTCGACCCGGATACGGCTCTGTGGTTTACCCTAACCTAACTTTTTGATAACAACGCTCTTCCTTACTCTACCTATTTGTAGGACCGACCCTGATGATGGCCCATAAATAGGCCGGAAGCGCTTGGTCAATTTATAATTTTTTCAAAAAAAAACGATCTCTGTATAGATAGCCACGGATTTTGCAAAGGGACTTCAGAGTAAAGTCCGATTTATAGATTCCGTGTAACGTAACCGTAACGCAGCAAAATGCAAGCATTTAAAAATTATAATTTATACCTTTTTTACGTTACGTTTGGCACATGCGTCGTAAATTGTTAAAAATCAGTGATTAATTATTATATTTACAATGGGGGCAATGGGGGCAATGGGGGCAATGGGGGCAATGGGGGCAATGGGGGCAATGGGGGCAATGGGGGCTTGAGCCCCCATAGTAAATTTCCTATGGGGGCAGAGCCCCCATAGTGATTTTGGTATTGTGTGTAGTGGGTGTAATGGGTAAGCACAGAAATATTGAGTTCCTGTTCCAAACTATTCATTTTTATATCAAACTTGTGTGTTTAATGTTTTTGCTATACCTATTTCAACAAACATTTTT